GCCTTCTAATTATTTCTCTCTTTCCACACTTTCTGGAACTTCTATGTGATCTGTACGTTGGATCACCTGATGGAATCTTGTAAATCTCCAACCAACTCTTCATTTTCTAAATTTTTCTTCTTATGTTTGTTCTGACTGTTATTTTTGGAAGTTTGTCTTCAAGTTCTGATATTCACTCTTCTATTTCATCTGTTCTATTATTAAGAGATTCCACTGCATTTTTTATCTGGTCAAATTCTTCGTTATTCTTATTCAGAATTTTTTCTTTGTTCTTTGGCATTTCTGTTTGGTTTCAGATTGGTTTTATTTTTAAATTGATCTCCCTCTGCTATGAGCTGCTATGTGCATGCAGTACCACCTCCCTGAGCTTTGTTTATTTCTGATTCCTGATGGAGCTGGGTACCAGTGCTTTGGTGCACTAAGCCCCACCTGCTGGTGCTGGGCTCCCTGCTCACTTGTTTGTAAAACGAGCTAGGGTTATCATTTAGCATTATTTGCTGTTGTACAACTTGCATGGTGGGTGGGAAATCACTCTGAATTGTTGTGATCCTTGTCCCCGTGTGGTACATGTTGTGAGGTGGCCTCTGCAATCGATGAGTATGCGTACCTGGGCAAACATGGCAGCATGCTGCCTACACACAAAAATGTAAACAACCAATATGGCTTCATCCCACTAACTGTATCTCTGGTTGGGGGGGATAGACACCAATGGATTGTGGTATATTCTCTCTCTCCACCCATTCCTCAGAATTTCTCCTTCCTGCTTAGAGCCCCAAGCACTGTTCACCAAATGTCCCCACTCACTGCATCTTTGTGGGATTGCAACCTCTCACCTGGTTTGCTGAGGAAGAGGCACCTGTCTCCTCACTGCATTCCTGTGCTGCTCATTCTCTATCCTTCAGTCCTCTCTCTGCTTCTGCTGGAGTGGACATGAGCAGCCTCTGGAGGACTTCGGGACATAAATTTTTCAGGATTCTGCCAGCTGTTTGTATCCCTTCTACTCATTAATCATCCATTTTTCACTGCACAACTCAGTACATCCTGCTGCTATACCGCCATCTTGCCCTGTGAATTCAATATTTTCACAAATGCCTAAAAATAAACACAGAAATTCAAGAATCAAGAAAAAAATACAACTTCACTTGCCCTCCCCAAGGAATGCAACAACACATCAAAATCAGAATGTGAAGATTAAGAGACTGAGGAAGTACCTGAAGTGTAATTCAAAAGATTAATCATAGGATTACTCAGAAGGAAATCCACAAATTAAAGAAATCCTTACATGATGTGAATGAGAAATTATCCCCTGAAATTGAAATTTTCAAGAGAAATCAAAATGAAATATTAGAAATGAAGAATTCAACGTGTCAAACAGAAATATATTGGAAAGCCTTAACAACATATTTGGTGAGTCAGAAGAAAGACCATCGAAGCTGGAAGAGAAATCTTTATAAAGTTTTTTGTCAGAACAAAAAAAAGGAGAGTAAATTATAAAAATTATAAATGTTGGAAATTTATGTATACTATCAAATGACCCAACAAACGGGTCTGAGAGTTCCTGAAGGTGTGGAAAGATAGAGCCGATGAGAAGGCCTATTCAGTGAAATAATTACAGAAAACTTCTTCAATTTGGAGAAAGAAAGGGATGTCTAAGTACATGAGGCACATAAAACTCCTTATAGACATGACCAGAAAGGCTCTTCATCACAACACACTGTAGTCAAATTTCAGCACTAAAACATAGAGAAAAGGTTCTAAAATGTACACAAGAAAAAAGCCAGATTACTTTCAGAGGCTTATCAATTATACTCATTGCTGATTTCTTGTACAAAACTCAACAGGCTAGGAGAGAATGGAGAGACACAGCCCAATATTAAGAGAAAAGCTTTCAACCCAGAAGACTGTACCCTGCAAAGCACTCACTTATGAATGAAAATTAAACAAACACCTTCCATAATAAAAAAAGAATTTGTCACCACTTGTCCAGCCTTACTAAAGATGTTTAAGGATGTCCTACACACAGAAACACAGAAACATGGTCATCACTATGAAAGAAGGTGAAGGCAGAAAATATCACGGTAAAAGTACAAAGGAAACCCAAAGCAAACAGAAGGAATATTTACAGAAAAACGGCAGGGCCAAGTCGTGACTTATTGATAGTAACCTTGAATGTAAATGGCCTAACCTCCCCAATTAAAAGATAAAGGCTGGCTAAATGGATTAAGGATAAGACTCATTTATTTAATGCCTTCAAGAAACATCCCTCACCAACAAAGATAGACCCAGACTGAAAGTAAGGATGAAAAAAGATATTGCACGGTAACAGAAGACAGAAACAACCATGTGCAGCCATCCTAATATCAGACAACATAGACATTAACATAAAAACTGTTAAAAGAGACAAAGCAGGACACTATGTAATGATTAAAAGATCAATTCAACAGGAATATGCAACTATCATAAAAGTACATGCACCCAATTCCAGGGTGCCAGGCTGCTTCAAATAAATATCAATAGATCTAAAGGGAGACAGAGACTCCAATACACTAGTAATGGGGGTCTTCAACATCCCACCTTTATCAATGGACAGATCAACTAGACAGAAATTCAACAAAGAAACAATAGATGGGCCAAATGGACCTAATTAATATCTATAGAACCTTTCATCCCACAGTAGCAGAATACACACTTATTTTAAAACTTTTATTTAATGAATATAAATTTCCAAAGTATAGTTTATGGACTACAATGGCTTTTCCCCCCATAACTTCCCTCCCACCCACAACCCTTCCCTCTCCTGCTCCCTCTCGCCTTCCATTCACATCAAGATTCATTTTCAATTATCTTTATATACAGAAGATCAATTTAGCATATATTAAGAAAAGCTTTCAACAGTTTGCACCCACACAGAAAACACAAAGTGTAAAATACTGTTTGAGTACTAGTTACAGCATTAAAACACAATGTACAGCACATTAAGGGCAGAGATCCTACATGAGGAGTAAGTGCACAGTGACTCCTGTTGTTGACTTAACAAATTGACACTCTTGTTTATGGCGTCAATAACCACCCTAGGCTCTTGTCATGAGTTGCCAAGGATATGGAGGCCTTTTGAGTTCACCGACTCTGATAATATTTTAGACAAGGTCATAGTCAAAGTGGAAGTTCTCTCCTCCCTTCAGAGAAAGGTACCTCCTTCTTGAATGACCTGCTCTTTCCACTGGGATCTCACTCACAGAGGTCTTTCACTTAGGTCATTTTTTTTTTGCCACAGTGAATACATATTCTTTTCATTAGTGCATGGGACTTTTTCTAGGATAGGCCATATACTAGGCCATGAAGCAAGTCGCAGCATATTCAAAATAAATGAAATAATAGCATGCATCTCCTTGGACCACAATGGAACTGAATCTGAAAATTAAGAACTCAAGAAACTAGAACACATGCAAATACATGACTGAACAAATCCTCCTGAATGATCAGTGGGTCATAGAAGAAATTAAAAGAGAATTCAAAAATTTTTGGAAAAATATGAAGAAGACAATGCAACATATCAAAATTTATGGGATACAGACAAGAAGAGTTAAGAGGGAATTATGTAACAATTAGTGCCTGTATTAATAAATTGGAAAATAATTAAGCAATCAATGTATCTCAAGGACCCAGAAAAACGACAAATCAAATTTAAAGTTGATAGCAGGAATGAAATAATTAAAATTAGATAAGAAACAAACAAAACTGAAACAAAAAAATCACAAATGATCAGTGAAATGAAAATTCTTTTGTTGGAAAAAATAAATAAAATTGAAACACCATTAGCCTGAATAAACAACAAAAAAAAGTAATAAACCAAGGAGAAAACCCAAATCATTAGAATCAGAGATGAAAAAGGAAATGTAACAAAAATAGCACAGAAATAAAAAGAATCACCAGGAATTCCTACAATGAGCGAAGAAATGGATATAAACCTGGACACATACAATCTACCAAAAGTGAGGCAGCAAGACACAAAAATCCAAACAGATCAATAACCAAGATGGAAATTCAATCAGTAATAAAGACTATCAACAATGAAAAGCCCAGCACCAGATGGCTTCACTGCTAAATTCGACCAGACATTTAAAGAACTAATCCCAATTCTTCTCAAGCTATACAAAACAACTGAAAGGGAGAGAATCCTCCTAAACTCCTTCTATGAAGGCAGCATCACCCTAATTCCTAAACCAGAAAAACGCAACAGAGAAAGAGAACTTTAGACCAATAACCTGATTTACATAGATGCAAAATCCTCAACAAATACTTTCTAATCAAACCCAGCAACATATCAGAAAGATCATTCATTCGGAGAAAGCAGGATTTATGCCTGGTATGCAGGGTGGTTCAACTTTGGATCAGCTCAACTCTGGCCATTGCAGCCATTTGGGGAGTGAACCAGCAGATGGAAGACCTCTCTCTCTCTCTCTCTCTCTCTCTCTCTCTCTCCCTCCCTCCCTCCCTCCCTACCTCCCTCCCTCCTTCCCTCCCTCTCTTTGTAACTCTGTCTCTCAAATAAATAAAATAAAAATCTTTCTTTAAAGAAAGAAGAGAAGAAATTTCGATGGCCAGCAGACACATGAAAAAATGTTTAGGATCACCAGCCATCAGGGAAGTACAAATCAAAGCCACAATGAGGTTTCACCTCAGCCCTCTTAGAATGGCTCTCATATATAAATCAAAAAACAGTAAATGCTAGTGAGGACGTGGAAAAAACAAGTATACCTCCACATTATAACAGAAAGTCCTGCCCACTTGTTAAAGTATGCTGGATTTTGAGATCTTAGTCTTTCTGTAACCAAAGCAATGACAATCAAGTGAGAAGATCTGCTACTCAGGGGTGTTGTTCAAGCATGAGGATTCACTACGCAGTAGCATCACAGTGTCAGCAAGAGGCACACCACCTTGTTATGTGAGTGACATGGCTTGCCTAATTAAGAGCTCTCTTGTCACAATACCCGGAATTATGGCACAGTTCACCAGGGCCTGACCCAAGGCATCTACTTGTGTGCACCATGCTGACTCCATCACTTGGAGCAGTTAGTACTCACATGGCTCCCATGCTCTGTGCGTCCTCCTTTTGCAGCCCTGGCTTTCCTGGATGACGTCCCCAGCGCTGTGCTGGCTTCATCACGCAGGGGAATAGCAGTAGCCCTGGATGAGGAAAAGAGGTGAAGAGAACTGTACAGATGGCTCCGAGGGACAGCCCCTCTGCCTTGAAGAAATTGCAGGGTCTGGCTCATGAGCAGCTCTTGGGACCTGGGAACTCTCACCATCTTCTCTAGCATTCCCTTGGGGTGATGTCTTAGGCACTGGATTCTCCTGCTGAGTCCTGGAAGATAATTCTCACCTCCTTTGAAACCCATGGCGAGGGCCTCTTGGAGAGAACAGCAGGTATCCTGGGATGGAGTCTGAAAGGACAACGTCAGACAGGGGCTGTGGCAGAGAGTTCACAAGGCATTTTTCCCAATCAGCTGCTCCACATCTACCTTGACATACCCTCAATGATTGAATCAGGACCTGGCTGTCAAAGATACCCCGACAATCCTTACCTCTTGGACACTTTCACAACATGTTTCTTTCCCTTAGAGCCCCTACTTGATTGCAGTGCTCTCCATTGCTGTACAAAGGCTCAGTTCCTGTTCTCAAGCAGGTGATTTTAAATAGCTCTGCTCCTGGACATCTGTGTTGGGAAGTTCCCTGCAGGCACAGAATTATGTGTGAGTTCCTGAGACAGTCCACTGTAAAGAGGCACTGTGAGGCTGGTAAGAAGGCTTATAGATGGATAGGGTTTTGGGGAATGCAGTATCCAGGAAGGCACAGCATCTTGTAAGATGGACAGTGTGAGGTCTGATATACCTGGGCTTAGAAAGGGTGGATGTAACCTGTCCAGGGCAAAACTTCAGACCTGGCCTGACTATGAGGATTCTAACTTTGGAGTGTCTGAGTCAAGCTTAGAGAAAAATAATCACCTGATTGGAGATTTTCCTGAAAAGCATCATTAATTATCAGTTCCATCACTGTTACAGATTTTCTTAAATATCTTTCTGTCACACTGGGCTACCATTCCAGAAAAGATCCTTAACTAACACAGATTTAATCATGAAAGAAAATGAATCTTAGACTTTTAACTACCAAGAAAGCTCTAGTGCTCCCTGATAATCCTTGAGATTAAGTACACTGTCCAACCTAAAGTGCCCATACATTTGCTACTAGACATGTGGTTCTGAAGCAAATTCAAACTTGTAGTGAGAGAAAGTCCTAGAAACACAGGTAGAGTGTGATATCGAGGAAGGAAGGGGATGTCCCCATGGAAGTACAGACCAGTTGCCCTCAGTATGTAGGTCTAATATACAGTTAACTATAGAATTTTGGTTTTATTTTTGCATCCCCAAACACACATCAGAAAATGTTGTCCCAAATACACTGCATCTTTCACAGATTCTGGAACAAGAATTCTGGATTCTAAACTAGCCTTTGCCTTTTACTAGCTGTGCGATCTCAATCTCTTACTATCTCTGAGCCTATTATTTCTCAGCCAACAACACTCTACATAAATCAGTTACCATATGTAAAGCAATGGAAGCAGTATCTGGTTGAGAGCGAGTGTTATATCAATGATGAGCTACTATAAATAGGAATCACAGTATTTCAGAAAGTGGGGTTCAAACAATCAGTCAGAAAAAATTCTGAGAGACAATGACACTGAAATGAAAGGCGAAATAGCAAGAGTTAGGCAGGGATAGAGGGTGGGGCAGCAGAAGGGGGTGTCCCAGGAAGGAACAATAATGTTCAGTCTGTGGAAGGGAGGGGACAGGACCAGGGCATAATCATGTTTCTATCTGTGAGCCATTGCCCACGTTCTGTGTTCTCTATGTTAAACAAATATAAAGGAGAACCTTAGCATCCTTAGCACAAAGGCAAGATATAATGAAGACTGCATAAATGTACCCACAAGTCAATGGCAGTATTCAGTCTCCCTTGTGGAGCTGGATCCAGTCCCTGCTCCTCCAGAGCAGATAAAAATGAGAGTCAACCATGGGGGAGCTTTCTAGGCTACATTGGACATAAAGGAATCCACTTTTTGGGTCTGGTGGAGATGAAGTGTGCTAGTCTGGGAGAGCCCTGGCTGAGAGGCTATAGTCAGGCGCATCCACACTTCAGGTGACCACCTCCAAGGGCACTTCTTGGAGGAAAATATATATGGCTCTCCCACTTGTCTCTTGCTCCTGGCACACTTATTTCAGTGAAATGAATGAAAAATGTTTTCCCAAGGACTGATGGCAGATGCTTTACACATAAAAAAAAAAAAAAACAAAAACAGTGATCTGGGGCTGGCGCCATGGTTCACTTGGTTAATCTTCTGCCTGTGACGCTGGCACCCATATGGGCACCAGGTTCTAGTCCTGGTTGCTCCTCTTCTAGTCCAGCTCTCTGCTGTGGCCCAGGAGGGCAGTGGAGGATGGCCCAAGTGCTTGGGCCCCTGCACCCACATGGGAGACTGGGAGGAAGCACCAGGCTCCTGGCTTTGGATCGGCACAGTGCCAGCTGTACCGGCCATTTGTGGAGTGAACCAATGGAAGGAAGACCTTTCTGTCTCTCTCACTGTTTATAACTCTACCTGTCAAATAAATTAAAAAAATAAAATAAAATAAAATAAAGAAAATCAGTGATATGATTATTGGCTCTGTAGCAGAAGTGAACATTTTGCTTCTGTATAACTTGGTGTGTTCTTCACAGCTATGTTGTGGCATGCTGGAGCTTGAGCAGCTCTGCCCTGGCCAGCTCTAGGTGGGTAACTTTAGAGGGTTATTCCAACTCCCTCTCTTTCTATGTTTGTGATAAGTGGATAACACTATGAATAATATCTCTCAAAATTAAATTAAGACAATGCATGTTAACTAATAACAGTATTGGGCGATAAACACCAATAATGGCTATAATTATTTTACCATTCTTTTCATTATTACTATTCTAGCTTTATCAGTTGACAAAAACTGGTCTAAACCTGGCTGTGCCTTTAGGTATCCTAGGGAAATTACATTAATATAGATTCTTGGGTCTCAGTTTCAGATATTTAGATTCACAAAGGCTGTGTAAAGTGGGACCTCTGTGCATGTCTACAGATGGTTCTGTTGTATATGATTTATGGGATGACTACATGATCTAGGCAATACTGCATATACCACAGGTATTACATATATAAAATCTGATGTGAATCTGTACCTTGGAGTTGTATTGTGTAATGACTCTGATATGATTTCCAGGGCTATTTTCATTTTTAAGAATCTGTGATTCTGTCCTGTGTCCTAAACAAGCATAACCTCACAGTCTAAACTGAGAACTCACTAGTTGTTTTGAAGCTAATTGACCTACAGTTTTTAATCATTGAGGATTTTAATTATTTGGTCCTTGTGAATGTGGTTTGGATGCATCATGTACAGTCCCACCTGGAAAGATTAGAAGGTGAACACAGCCCTGAACATCTGTGTGTTCTGCCCCTGCAGATTCAGGCAACTGTGAGCCAAAAATACTCAGAAAGGGATGGGTCTTTGGTCCATCAGTTAAGAGGCCTGTGTGCCATGTTGAAATGCCTGGTTTCAATTCCAAGCTCTGGCTCCCAATTTTGGCCTCTAGCCAATGCATACCCTGGGAGGTGGTAGCTAATGGCAGTTATAATGTTATAATGGTAGTTATACCTGTGCTATCCATGTGAGAGACTTAGATTGAATTCTTGGCTCTGGTTCTGGCCCAGCCCAGGCTACGGTGGGCACAGGAGAGTGAATCAGAGGCTGGGGCCTCTCTGTCTCTGGTTTGGGCTCTGTTTCAGTTTCTCTGGCTCTAGAATAAAAATGACTGTATCTATGTTGGATATGTACAGACCATTTTTTTGGTCATCATTTTCTAAACAATACAGTGTAACACTATTTACATACCTTTTGTACTGTATTAGGTATGCTAAGTAATCTAGGGCTGATTTAAGATATGTGGGAGGGCTGTGGGTTATATGCAAAATGCAACATCACTTTATTAAAGGAATCAAGCATCCAAGGGAGGAGAGGTGATTCCTGCAGCCAAACCTCTGAGGATTTGGAGGGAAGACTTTGCAAATGGAATGGGTATGAACTACAGGGCCCTTTCTGCTGAGAGCAGCTAGCTCCCTGCTGGAGCCCAGATTCTATCTGCCTCTGCCCTCTGGACCCTGGTCTTTTGAAAAAATAAACAAAATTGACACCCCATTGGTCCAACTAACTAAAAAAAGAAGAGAAAAGACCCAAATCAATAAAATCAGAGATGAAAAAGGAAACGTAACAACAGACACCACAGAAATAAAAAGAATCATCAGAAATTACTACAAGGAATTGTATGCCAGCAAACAGGGAAACCTATCAGAAATGGATAGATTCCTGGACACATGCAATCTACCAAAATTGAACCAGGAAGACATAGAAAACCTAAACAGACCCATACCTGAGACAGAAATTGAAACAGTAATAAAGGCCCTCCCAACAAAGAAAAGCCCAGGACCAGATGGATTCACTGCGGAATTCTAACAGACATTTAAAGAAGAACTAACTCCAATTCTTCTCAAACTATTCAGCACAACTGAAAAAGAGGGAATCCTCCCAAATTCTTTCTCTGAAGCCAGGATCACCTTAATTCCTAAGCCGGAAAAAGATGCAGCACTGAAAGAGAATTACAGACCAATATCCTTGATGAACATAGATGCAAAAATCCTCAATAAAATTCTGGCCAATAGAATGCAGCAACACATCAGAAAGATCATCCACCCAGACCAAGTGGGATTTATCCCTGGTATGCAGGGATGGTTCCTTGATTCCATGTTCTGGCCTTACTCTCCAGGAACAGTTGTCCTCATCCTAGGGAAACCTTTATCCGATCCTGGGTTCCTTTGACTATCATTGTCATTTGTTACCTTTTGATAACAAGATTATTAATTTCTACCCATCAAATATTCTGCTGAAATTATAATTTGAATTCCATTGAAAGTATAGATCAATTTGGAAAGATTTATAACCTTTATAAAATTTCCAATCTACAGACACAATTGCATGCATATTCTTAATTTTGTATATTAACCATAAGTCAAAGATTTTGTTAATTCAACTGATTTCAGTTAATCAGTTACATTAGTATGAGTTTTACAAGTTTCTAAATTGCAATGTGAATAATGACACTTTCATTATTTAATGCATATATCGTTACTTCTTTTTTACCTACTACTGGGTAGTTTTTGAGTGACCATTAAATAGACGCTGTGCTGGGGGACCACGTTAGACTTATTTTACAACTAAGGGGAGAAAGCACTGAACATTTCAGACTTATGCATAGAGTTTCTATAGGTTTTATAGATACTTTTATTCAGATAAAAGAGGTTAATATATATTTGAGAATTTTATGTTTTTATAGAGAATAAGTTTTGAATTACTTTCATTATCATTACAGAGTGTCTTCTTTATGCTTATACATGCTATGGAATGTCATCAAGTTTGCTGCTATGGAATGTCATCAAGTTCGCTACTATCAGTTTCTCTTTGCCTGCAACATGTTTTCCATTATTCCTTTTTAACCTGTGTGTGTGTGTGTGTGTGTGTTTGTGAGAGAGAGAGAGAGAGAGACAAAGAGAGATTTATTTTATATATATATGAACATCTATGTAATATCAACTTGTAAATGTTTGAAAAGATAAAATTATTAAACATAATAAAATTTCAACTAGTGTCAGTTGTAGCATAAATACACAGAATATTATAAAAAATCAAAAACACGGTAAACAGAGAAAAAGAAAAAACATTCTGAAATAGTAGTTCAAAGATATGGAAGATAGGTGGATTGATATGGGTTTGATCTAATAGGAATTCCACAGTGAAATGGTGAGCATGGAAGAAGGACAACAAGCAAAGATAAGGATGTTGAGAATTTCCATTGATTGTGGAATAATTTTTTATTTATCCTATGCTGCTCCTCAAACAAAGCATATTTTTTCATTTAAATAATCATCTTGAATTGTGAAAAATTCTTTGACTTCTCTATACATACACTGACTTTTATTTATTGTACTCACTAAATAGAATGCATGTTTTCTGCTATTTAAGGCTTAGCTTATCAACAATGCTGAAATATTTTTGTTTATTCTTTTTCCCCCATTTTACCCATTCTTTCACTCAGTAACCTTAATTACAGCTAAATACAGCTCTCATTATATTATTCAAGTCTCTAAAATGTTCCTTCAAAGTACTATCTGTGAGTATTAAAACCTGGTGGACTCCTTCATGAGCCCATCTTCTCATTTTTTTTTAACCCCAAACCATCCTCACTGAACAGGATACTAGCCTTTTTAAACTTTTATTTATGTATTGGAAGGGTAGAGTTACAGAGAGAGAGGGAACTGGAGAGCTGCAGAGAGGGGGGGGGGAAGGAGGGAGGGAGGGAGGGAGGGAGAAAACGAGCATATTCCATCCATTGGTTCACTCCTCAAATGGCCACAACAGGTGGGCTGGGCCAGGCTGAAGCCAGCAGCCTGGAGCTTCTTTTTGGTCTCTCACGTGAGTTCAGGGGCCCAGGGACTTCTGCTGCTTTCCCAGGAGCATCAGCAGGGAGCTGCATGGGAAGTGGAGCAGCTGGAATGCAAACAAGTATCCACGTGGGATGCCAGAACTACAGGCTGTGGCTTTTCCTCTAGACCACAGTGCAGGCCTCTCATGAGCTCTTCTAAGATACAATTTTCTTTAATCTGAGAACTGAAAATTACCTTCTTTATTGAGTTTTGAAGTTTTGTGGCTATGCTTCTTATTTCAAAGATGTATAATTGATCTGTTCATTTTATTTCTAATTTTATTTTTCTTTATTGTGGAGCATTTTAGTAAATATGACATCTTCATTAATCTATTGGAAAATCCCAATTATCCTTATATTACATTATCTGGAAGATTTTTTTGTATATTTCATCTTGCATTCATTTATAAATGTTCCAATGACATTTACATATTTTGAGACAAATTTTTTAGCACAATTTAGTGGATGAGTTTTTAATTTTTATTTTGCTTTTCCATCTTTTCTTTCTCCCTGTCTTGTTATTTTCAGTTTTTACTGTTCTTCACTAGATGCATGAGCCCCTCATGAAAATCAGGTTTTATAATACTTTCTCATGGCTGGTGATCAAAGTAGAGTGCCAGTAAGCATATTTACTGTTTTATAGTTACCTTATTCACAATCTAAGAGTTGTTTTTGAACAACCAAGTTAATGTCTTCAGGAAAATGAACAGAGTTAGAATCTAACAAGCATTATCATTGACTGCTCAAGTCTCCTTTCAAGGCCCAACACAATCCCCAAGCTTCAAGCAACCACATTGGTGTTCCATCTCCTAACACCTTGCCTTAATCTCATAAAAAAAGAAACACAAAAAAACTGTGTTCTAGCTATAACTTATTATTTTTTTTCCTTTTTTTTTTTGTTTACAAACCCTTGTGTCGAGGGCTGACTTTCAATAGATCGCAGCAAGGGAGCTGCTCTGCTACGTATGAAACCCCGACCCGGAAGCAGGTCGTCTACGAATGGTTTAGCGCCAGGTTCCCCATGAACGTGTGGTGCATGACGGGTGAGAGGGCGGGCCCCTCCAGGTATAACTTATTATAAATAAAATTAGGACTCAAAATGCTGACTAGAATTGGCCTACAAATTAAAAAAAAAAACACAGAATATTCAATTATATGAATTCCTACATCAAGCATAAAACCAAAAAAGTAGCTTGGCTAATTTATAAAAATATCCAAGATAAAATAACACACACAAACACAAAACTGAACTGAACTGTGCACTAGTTTGGACTATTCAGTTCCTAACAACAACACTGGTTTTATCCAGTTTGTGCCAGCAAAACCAGCCAATGACCAGTCCTCTAGCATTGGTGTGTATTTGAAAGAGCTTCCAGAGAAAAATAAATTTTCAACAACTGTGAATTCATTCAATACTAAAAAAGGCTTAAATTTTACTTTTCCCAAATGTACATAACAGAAATTGAGGTATTTTCTTTCTCTTTTGGGAATAAATGCCAGATGGAGTCACTTTTTTTCTATATTAAGTTGTACTATGGCAAAAATGTAGTTGTTGGTGAATGAAAACTAAATAAACACATTTAAAAAACAGGAATCCACGAGTGTATTGGTACACAGTCCGAAAAATAACAGAGTCAGCGAGAAGCCAAAAATATACATAAAATTAGGAGTCAAAATGGTGACTAAAAAGTTAACAAAAAATCTGAATATTCAATTACATGAATTCTTCTATCAAGCATAAAACCAAAAAGGTAATTTGGTAAATTTATAAATATATAC